GGATCCCTCTGCACGTCTGTGCAAGCTAAGGGGGTAGGTTCCAAGCCATGCAGCACTGCCTGGCCAGAATGGGCTCCCAACTCAAGGAAAGGAAAAGAAACAAACATTTCAAAACAAACAAACGAACAAAAGCCCTGGGATCCCACCAGCGTGGCAGCCCAGACCAGGAAGCAGCTCCACACTCGAACGGAGCTCTGCAGCCCCTCAGGAAGAAGCAAAGATGGCGCACGGAGCCAGGTATTTGAGCGAAAGGAGGGGGAGGTGGTGAGAGGTAAGGAAGAAATCAAAAGAAGCGGAAAAAAAGCAACACCACAGCCAACAAATGGCACTCAGAGAGCCAGCTAGTGCGGGCTGGTGGAATCCAAGCAGCCGGTGCTTCCTAGACAAGAGACTGTGTCGGCAGGAAGCAGAGGAGGCCGAGTGTGGGTGAAGAAGGGTAGGGGGTGGGAAAACGTATATCACAAATTACCGGAGCTCCGCAGTCCCTCAGGAAGAAGCAAAGATGGCGCGCGGAGCCAGGTATTTGAGCGAAAGGAGGGGGAGGTGGTGGGAGGTAAGGAAGAAATCAAAAGAAGTGGAAAAAAGCAACACCAGCAGCCAACAAATGGCACTCAGAGAGCTGGCCTGTTTGGGTGGGTGGAATCCAAGCAACTGGTGCTTCCCGGACAAGAGATTGTGGCCACGGGAAGCAGAGGAGGCCGAGTTGGGGGTGAAGAAGGGTGGGGGGTGGGAAAGCATATATTGCAAATTACCGGTTGTTTTGTCTCCCGCTGGAAGCTCCGTGAAGCTGCCTTTTTGTACCCCCATTTGCTGGTCTCCGATAGAGTCCAAGATGGCGGATCCATGCTGCGTTAGCTGATAGGGGACTTCTGCATGAATCTTTCCTTGCTCTTCATTCTCTGTCAGTTTTCTCCCTCCATTTGGTGCTTGGCTGAGTTTTTTATCTCTTCATTTGATGTTTTAGGGTTTCAGAATTGTTGTTTTCTCTGTTCGGCTTAGTTTGTCGGTTCTTTGCTGTGGAGGGATGGCATGGTGCTTCTGCCTAGAGCGCCATTTTGCCGGAAGTCTGTGCATGAACATTCTCATTATTTCCATTCTTGTTGTTCTGTTTCTGTTAATCTAGTTTCCCTGTCCCTTTACATTCTCATCTTTTTTTTTTTTTATTGTACTTAAGGTGAAGGCTTACAGAACAAATAGTTTCTCATGCAACAGTAGTACACATATTGTTTTATGACATTGGTTAACAACCCTCTCATCTTTGTTTTAAAGTAATTGTTGACTGTTAGGTCTTCCATAGTTGATATTTTAAAGGCTCACAATCCTTATGAGCGATAATCATTATTTTGTGAACCAGTCTGTTATTTAGCTAAAACGTGACCTCAAGGGTTAGTTTTGGTTCAAGTTTTGAAGAATATCTTAAGGTAGTAGTTTCAGGGAGTCCTCTAGTCTAAACCAGTCCAATAAGTCTGGTTTCTTTTTTCTTTTTTTAATATATATTTAGGAATTCTGAGATTTGGTGCCATATTTTTTTCTCATTCTATCAGGGTCCATCTATCGTGGCTCCAATTAGAATGGTGAGTAGTGGTACCTGAGCACCATCTAGTTCTTCTGGTCTCAGGGTTGATGAGGCCATGGTTCATGTAGACTATTTGTCCTGTAGACTAATTTCTTCTTTGAGTCTTTGGTTTCTTTCTTTTTCTTTTTCTTCGAACAAGTAGAAACCAGTAGTTGTATCTTAGATGGCTGCTTGCAAGCTTTTAAGACTCTAGACACTACTCACCAAACTAGAATGTAGAACCTAACTTTATGAACTATATTATGCCAGTTGACTGAGTGAGATGTTCCATGAGTTTGTGGTCCTAATCCTTCAAACCCAGAAAACCAGTCCTGCAGGTGTTTGAGTATGTCTAAGAAGTATCTGTAACTGTACCCCCTCTGTGCTTTATTTATATATGAATATGTGTACATATAGTCACATACATGCATATATGTTGATATGCATAAACCTATATATACACAGGAGACCTGGTGGTACAGTGGTTAAACACTCAGCTGCTAACTGAAAGGTCAACGGTTCAAACCCACCAGCCGCTCTGCAGGAGAAGGATGTGGCAGTCTGTTTCCATAAAGATTTACAGCCTTGGAATCCCTATGGGGCAGTTCAACTCTGTCCTATAGGGTTGCTTTGAGTTAGAATCGACGACGTCAATGGGTTTGGTTTGATTTTTATATATACACACATATATACACATATACACGTACCTGTCTTTGTTATCTAGTGCTGCTGTAACAAATGGATGGCTTTGAGAAATTTATTCTCTCCCAGTCTGGTAGGCTAGAAGTCCAAATTCAGTCCAGCTCCAGAGGAAGGCTTCCTCTCTCTATTGGCTCTGGAGAAATCCTTGTCATCAGTCTTCCCCTGCTCTAGGAGCTTCTCAGTGCAGGGACCCTGGATCCAAAGGACGTGCTCTTTTCCTGGCACCATTTTCTTGGTGGTATGAGGTCCCCCGGTCTCTCTGCTCGCTTCTCTCATTATATCTCAAAAGAGTTAGTCTAATCTTGTAGATTGAGTCCTTTCTCATTAACATAACTGCCTCTAATCCTGCCTGATTAACATCTTAGAGGTAGGATTTACAACACATAGGAAAATCACATCAGATGACAAAATGGTGGACAGTCATACAATACTGGAAATAATGGCCTAGCCAAATTGACATACATTTTTGGAAGACACAATTCAGTCTGTAACAATACCTATACATATAAATGCCTACATAATATATATATGTCCACATATATATTTTTTGGTTGTTTTTGCTGTTGTTTCAGAATTATAGATGCTGTAGCAATTACCAATAGGTTCTTTTTTCTTGGATACATTTTAGTGGCATCGTTTATCTTCGTCAAGCTGTGTACACATCACCCTAATTCAGTGTTACTGGGATTTTTTTTTTTTTAATTGAACTTTTTATTTTGGAATAATTGCAGATTCTCTTGCAGTTCTAAGAAATAATACAGGCAGGGCCCATGTACCTTTTTAACCAGGATACTGGCCTTGATATAGTCAAGACACAGAATATTTCATCCCTCATGTTGCCAGTTTGTACGCACACTCACTTCCCTCTGTCCCCGCTCCTTCTTTATGCCTAGCAACTACTAATCTATTCTCCATATCCATGATTTTGTCATTTCGAAGGTGTTACATCATTGGAATTATATAGTATGTAACCTTGTGGAGTTGGCTTTTTTCACATAGCATAATTCTCTGG